GTGCGTGTGCGTGTGTGTGTGTGTCGGATGCGCATGGTCTGTGGGTGTGGTGTGGAGTGGTGCGGTGCGGTAGCCGCTGAAGGACAAATGTCAAGTGCTTAGTTTTGTTAGATTGGGCGAGCCTGCGGATCGATAGTTCAGGCATTGTGAGGTCAGAACTGATTATCTATGATCCAGCATTTGGCGGCACCGACAAAGACAAAGACCGACCGACCGCAAGACTACACACAGAACCTCCGGACCGAAACATCACGCTCTATTCGGCACAAAGGCAGATGCACGAATCAGTGTCCGAACATGAAACACTGAAATGTGCGGCGTTGCCTCTGAGTCTGCAGAGCTCAAGGCCTCCAATCCCGAAGTACCAGAAACAAGCCACAAGAAGCAAACCCCAAACCTAAGCTCGGCAAGCACAGAAAGCATCTGCCAAGAGGCCACTCCAGTTCCTCAGCTCTAGGCTGAAGGTGAAGTCATCTGTACTCTACAAGAGACCCGAAGGTGTTGTCGCCTGTTTGTCTCTGGTTCTCGCGCACACATCTCCAAGCCGCTTGCAAATGCTGCTGTCGCGACTTCGTGCATTCAAGCCGGACCGATAGCCAGGTAAAGCATTCAGAGCTACGCCGCTCGTACTACCACATGTAACGTCTGTAGCTCCGATCATCATATCGGAAGCATGTTTTCAGCTGGCTTCAGGAGGGTCAGAGCAGGTCCGGGTGCCGCAGCTACGACAAATCGAACTGACACTTTGCCACCACTGCAGGAAAGGATGCCCTTTCGATACCAGGCGTGTTGGAGCCAGTCAGCGTGCCGTAGACGAAGCCTTGGAAAGATGCCCCTGTTACACAGAATGAAAAGCGTAGTGCTCTGCACTACTACGCCACTGGTGACTCGCACAAGGAGACAGGGCATCATCATCGTCCTTAACATCCTCAACAGTAGTACGTGGTGGCAGCAGCAGGGGTTCACGAAGTCTTGTGAGGTTCCGTGGATCAGGAAAATATCAGAAATAAGCCTTCGAGGCTTCACTTTTGAGAGGGCTCCGGAAATTTGGGTCCAAGGCCTTCCGACAGCCAAGGGGCAGAATGTGTGGTCTTCCCAGCACTTCCGGTAATCTTGCTGCGCAATCTTGCCACGAGGCCTTACTCTTGCGATCAGGGTGGGTCCCGGCTGCATTCTAGGACCAATCGGCACAATAGAGTGTAGGTAAGGGCTGCAGAATGTGGGGAAAGTCTTGCAGCCTGCAACCCAGAATGAGTATAAAAGTCTGCTCGAGTGTGAAACGCTTCAGGTGCCGGAAAGTACGGATTCTTCAGAGTGGATTCAGGCCCTGAATAGATGAGATTAGCATCCTTAGAGGATGGGCACCTGGAGGCACAAAAACATCCTCACAGTCGGCACACCTTGACTTCAAACTTGTCCAAGCCCACAAGAAGCCTCCAAGCATAATGCAGGGGCCTGAAAACATAGACTAGGGTTTCGGGAGTTCCTGATTATAGTTTTTAGTATAATATACCCCAAACCCTATTCTAATTATTAAGGCACCCATGTTAGAAAGGCTGAACCCTAGACATCGTGACCTCAAACTCCTACCCGCTCGCTGATACAACTAGGGAGACGATAGGCCTGGGGTCTACTTGATCTTGCTGGCGTTGTGGCATCCTTGCAGCCTGCTTATCGGCCAACAGGCCTTTTCAAGGACTTTGTGAAACATGCACTTTATACTAAATATTATATACTATATGTGTGTATGTATCTGTGTATATATATATATGTATATATAAATAATGTGTACATGTACGTATATGTGTATGCTCTCTCTCTCCCTCTCTCTGCTCCATGTTTACAGTTTAGGGTTTTACAGCTTCAAAGCTGGTGGACAGACTCCAAGGACTCCAAGGCATCAACCGCAAACAAGCAGAAATCCGAAGCCACAAACCTCCACTTCACAAGCCCCAAGCTCGAAAGCACTAGACCCCATAGATACATGCAGCCATCATGGAACGTTAACCCCATGCCCTAAACTCCAAATCCGTGAGACCACCAGCCCTACATCCCAAGCCTTGAAGGCCCAATCCTTGAGCTTTAACTTACCACCCCCCTNNAAAAAAAAAAAAAAAAGAAAAAGACACACACCAAAACAACCTTAGTTGACCCGAATCCCCCAACCCGAGCCAAAGGGCAAGTTCGGGAGTGGCACAGCCGCCGGTGGTGGGGAAGCTGTCGGAGGTTCTGCACCTTTCAAGGCATAGCCCCCCGCCTTATGAGCTAACCGAACCGGCTTGTTTAAGGAGGGTGTCGGGACTTGTCGTTGAAGCTCTTCGGATTTCGGGTTTCTGGCTGATGCTTCGGCGATGGAGGGTGGAGGGCTTGTTGTTGAAGGTCTTCAAGTCTTCTGAGTGTGACATGGAGAATCTGCTACGGCATAGTAGCCGACCAGTGACTGTGCTTGCAAGGGCACGTTGGATACACGCCACGGTCAAAAGCAGAGCAAACAGGATTTGAGCTGAGGGGACAGAAGTTATGTGCCATTCTCATGAATGAAGCGGGGCCACAACTGCTCGGAAAAGAGAACTCGAGTACGGGATTGCTTTGTGGGCATGGCTAAACTTCGCGCATGTTGCACTAACAGTCACTATAATACTGGACCAGAGGTGCAGGGCGTCTACGATCAATGCACCGCTTCTGAACCTACTTCCTGTAGTTGAGGCCATACGCATAACAACGGCTGATTCGTGTGAGGTGCCGAAGGAGGTTCAAGAAGTCATCTACAGGAACCTGGACCACGGTCAACCAGGTGCCTTGATGGCAAAACGCACCTCTGAACCCTAAACCCTAAACCGCTACACCCGTAAACTGATCCCCAAACCCTAGACTGCTAAAACCGCCAAACCCGCAATCTGATTTTGCAGGGCTTAAGCCATGTTTCCCTCCCCCTGCAGTCGAGAAGCTCGTGGGCTCTTTGGCGGCCTCCTGGACCACCTGTTAGGGTTCCGGACTATATAGGATACTAGGGTTTATAGGACTTCACGCTCTCGCAACTCGGTCACTGCGCGACGAGGTCTCTCGGTGCGGGTTTAGGACCTTCGACGCTCGGACAATCCAGGCGAGGCCTCCGGGGTTAAGTCGGCTGATGACTAGCCGGAAAAGTCGAG